AATTACAGTATCCAAGAGTACTTCATTGTAGAATGGTCCTAATCGAAAAATTGAAAACTTTAGTTCCACCTGGAAGGAAAAAAACCTCCCATAACAAATTCAGGATAGGAATAAAAACAAATCATTTGAAAGTCACGCGCAATCTTCGCGAAAATTCCTCGTGGCAACTTGACAGAGGGGGGCGAATATTTTCACGAAAAATTGCTCGCCAACAGCGACCTAACTGGATACAGCTATTTCAATTAAGGTTGTCCCCCGAGCAAAGCGGAAAAGTCGAATACGAGCGCGAAAGGCTGCTGGGAATCGCTAATAAATTCATTCATTTATTTGCGATTCCCAGCAGCCTTTCGCGCTCGTATTCGACTTTTCCGCTTTGCTCGGGGGACAACCTTAATTGAAATAGCTGTATATTATATTTATTGTATTTTTATGATTGATAACAAAAATACGTAAATACTTATTGTTTTTATCTTTAAATCATCAAATACAATAAATACAATATATTTAGTTGAAACTTGAATTGCCGTGGTGGCGAACAAACGTTTCGTGAAAATATTCGCCCCCCTGTCAAGTAGCCACGAGGAATTTTCGCGAAGATTGCGCGTGACTTTCAAATGATTTGTTTTTATTCCTATCCTGAATTTGTTATGGGAGGTTTTTTCCTTCCAAGTGGAACTAATGTTTTCAATTTTTCGATTAGGACTATTCTACAATGAAGTACTCTTGGATACTGTAATCTAAATACATATGAAGACGAAGAAGTGGCATTTATCGGGCAGAGAATCGGGGGGCCATTAAAATGGCGGCATATTAGACGAAATATGGAAGGAGACAATATCGAAGATAAAATACACTGCACTGCTTCAAAACTAGCCGAAACTTGGTTGGAATCTTCTTTAACCATTTGGCATTATGTAAAAGTACAACAACTGGATGTTATTTGCGAGACACGGCGATATAAAGCAAACAAGAAGGCAAAATAAGGCTGAAATCTTGTTTTCGTGGGGGTAAGTGCAATAAAATATATTATATTTATAGAAAACAATGACTATCCTTGTGAAAACTACACTAATTATATTAAATTAAGCATAGTTTTTCATCCCATGATAATTTTTTTTAGGAAATAAGGATATTTAATTTCTGCCATGTATATTAGTTATTTTATGCATAATTAGCAATTTACCTGGGGTGATGAATGGTCATTTTCTTGTAAAATATTATACTTACACAAATTTTTCCTTCCAATAACCACCCCTAAAAGCAACCCTTCTACATACTATAAGCCACTTCAGTAAGGCTGCTGCTTTTGCTTTTCGGAAGCTAGAGCTATTTCGGCACTGCCGTTTCAGGGCGGGGTCATTTTCAGGACTTTCGTCCCGGATTTGGGTTTTGGCACACATGCCATGTTGACCGCCATGGTCATTTTACCCTAAAACAGTTGAGATTACCTGTGGTAAATGAAACGCATACAAAGTCCTATACAGGTCCTAGACTAATATTATACAGATATCATAGTAAGACATCAAATTCATTAATTGACATTGTATTAATATTTCTATCACCAAATCAATATTCACATTTTATATCCACAGAAGAGGATATGGTATGAAAATTGGTTTTCATACATGCATCATAAGGATTTTGAAATATATACTGTATTTCTAATTGAAGAGTTGAAAGACATGCATGTACTAACTTTGGATTCTGTATCAGGGTTTCTCTCTAGTTCGAACAAGGATATTTTAAATACGTAATTCTATATGAGGACAATTTGTAAGGAATTCTAAATCAGAATTCCATACTAAAAACAAAAATGCGTGGGATTTACCGATTGCCTCTTTCTGCTATTATAATGTCTGAAAAAGAGAATGCGAGCGACTTTAATACCGCTTTGTTATTCTATATAAGTGCAAGGATAATTAAATTTAAGACTTTTCCCCCTCTATTTCAACAGTACATTAAAATAAACTTTTCGTGAAAGAAAATGATCGTATACGTCTGCTTAGCTTATCGTTTTCCAAATCGGCCTTTTATTTCAAACCTCATGCACTGTCGCTAAGGCAACTTTGATCATATTATAAGGTGAATTATTTTGGTTCATACCATTGTGAGTTACTCGACACCAGTAAAGCTGAAAAACTGTCATTACAATATTATAGCGAGCTTAAGCAAGTGACGTTTTCGTCAACACGGTCGACGTCAGATTGTCGAGGGAAGACTGGATTTAAAACTACGTTTGTGTCAGTTTGTAGTAATCTTCAACACATGACAAAACGTCAGATACTAAAAGTCTTTTGCTTCCTCACACGTCGAGTGTCACGATGCAAAATGCGGTCAGAATTAGTTATGTCAATTTTCGGCGACGTCCGGTCGACAAACAACGCGTCCCTAGGTTCAGCTCCCTATTATCTAGCGTAAAGCTTTTTCTTTTTTATATATACATTCATTTGATACTCTTCCACGAACTTTGATATCTAAAAATCCCTCCCGTCTTCAACGCTGCGATTTAAAAATGGTACAAATATGACGAGCTTTGTGCGTTCGATTCCCTTAAAATGGCACGTATCACAGAAAAATTCGGCATGGTCACCTTAAAACAAACTACATAGCAAAAAAACACAACAGAAAATCAACAAAATATACCGTATTCAGGAGTTTAACGAGGCCTCGAAGAATTCTGGTTTCAGTTGACGTTTCAAATTTTATTGCAGATTCCATTCTGTGTACGCGTGTTATTTTCGTCTTCGGTGAAAACATTTTTAATGTTTTAGTAGCAAGTTAGACATCGCTGTCGAATATATACGAGATAATAAGGCGTAGATACATAATATTTGTTTATATATAGATTATTATGTTAATTGTTCAAATAAAGTAGATCATATCACAAATTATCCAATTACAAAAATATATATACAGAGTAGTATCTGTACTTCCATACTAACTCACGAAATTCAATCATTTTGGAATCCTCTGTATATGTTCACTCTCGCGTCGTTTAAGTTAGGCCTACACCGCTTGAACGGATTCTCATGGCAAAATCGGCTTAGCTTTATCATTATTTCTATAATTGTAATTTTCATTAATTTTTATTTAATAATTAGTGTATATTTCCTTACACAACTGAATTTATCTTTCTAGTATTTCAACAGACAATACAGTTTTAACACTTCAGTGTTTGTCCATATATCAGCCGTGTCTCATGCATGCCTGGAATTATTTCTGATTTAAAATGTCTGTTTTATGCAATATCCCGTCTCGGTAAACAGAAATTACGAAAAGATGGGCATGGCGACTTCGAAGCATCTGTTGTTGTGATTGAACAAATTATACGTTATATCACGAATACATATAGTGTTTATTTATACGTCTATGAAATGCTTGTCTGTCTTGTGTATCTTTTCCAAGTATATGCCCCACGATACTAATATACTGCATGTAAGTCACCATGCATCAGCAGCAAATTTAAGGGCTAGAAATACGTGTGGTGCGTAAGTAGTATATTACAGTATATGGCATTCCAGTATTAATATAATATTATACACTATAATAGAGAAGGACGAACATTTTCTGTGAGATGGAAGAAAATTTCCTGGGATGATATTTATTTTGCAAAAAATTCCTGGGAGCAGGCAAGCTGCTGGCGCTGCCGGACATTTTCCATGCAACACTGCATGCATGGCGACGATAAGATTTGGAAAGTATACAACTTACAATTTTTATTTCAATGGATGGAAGTAATAAAACGCTACGTCTGCGCAACAACTAATCAACTATGTATTCTGCACCTTGCTGAAGTTGAATATCATCAAGTTTCATGCAGTACGTTTCACACAGATTGTACTTTTAGGTACAAAAGTACTATACACGTAGACTAAGACTCATTCGTCTCCTATTTAGAATATGCTTACCATTTGCAGTAGTGCAGACCCACTACCATCGCTGAGGGGTACAAGCTTTGTTTTTTGTGCTAACTTGGAAGAAGCCGACGTCTAAAAAGAATGAATATATATAAAAACAACAGAAAAGACTCATTTGCGTTTACAATTTTTAAATTTTTTTCTTGTAACTTCCATAGTTATATCATATACATGCAGGATTCGACCTACGATGTACTACCTGCCATTCCCAAAGCCGATTTTGACATATGTAAGCGTTGGGCATTCGTATAGTCAGTGCCTTTTGAATGGTACAGTATAACTGAGTATAAGGTGTGTAACAAAGATGTTATAATAATTAAAGGGCGGGAAAACCATAATTCGATTGGTTATAAACTGAGCAATATCAGCCAAAACTAGTGTTCTAGTATTTAATTACAGAGATTTATAAATCCTTGGAACTTATTATAACCCTATATATTTGACTACAATCGCAACACACGTATGCGCGAGCAACTTATATGTATATAGCACATTGTACACGTATATTATACCTGGGAAACTGACTTCTTTGCTGAGAATTCTCTCTCTTCAAACTTCGCAATTTCTTCTATAAGTTCCCTTTATAAGCATCATACATTTTAACGACCACAAAAAATTTTATATTCAGTTTAACAGTTTAAAAGGACTCACTATACTACTGTATATTTCTTCCAGTATAGTGCATGTATAGAAAAATTTTGACAGGTTAATTGTATTATGCGTTCGGTTGGGGTTTATGATGTACTTTTTTGGTAGTATAATTTCACTACGAATCCTTCTATCAAAAATAACTATGTCAAGTTTAG